AGAAAACCTGCCATCATAAATCCAAATAGGTACAAATCTTCCACATCCTCCACGGAAAGCGAGGTCAGGCACACGATCTTCCAACTGTTCCAGGAATCCAACGTGTACCCGGCCGGGAAGGTTCCGTCAGGGCAGCCGGGTTCTCCTTTACCCATTTTCATGGTTGAGAAAATATGATCAATTGCGTTGAGAGACCAGTTGACCAGATCCATCATTTTGGTTTTGGAGGAAAATGCAGAGAGAGGCTCCGAGATAGTTTGACAGAGACGGTACAAGACATAGAGCAGTAGCAGGGCAGATAAGGGCAGGAAGGGAGGAAGGGAGCAAGGGAAAAAGCGTCCGCCTTCTTCGAGAGCAAGTGTGAAAGACACAATCTCTGTTGTTTCTGTAACAGTCTGTCTGTCTTGGTCTCTTTTTAGGTCTAGGCTGACTCTGTGGGACTTCTAAGGGCAAATCATTAACAGGTAGCAGAAGACTGCGAAGCAGCACGCGCCGTATGCATTCTCCTGTTTGGGGTTGAACTCTGTAAACAGGTCCGTCTCCCATCTTTTCAACCACTCGGTGAACCTTTTTCTCCCAATAAGCTCTAAGTTTGCCCGGACCGCGAGCACACGATCTCCAGGCTGCAGCGTAATACCTTTAACATGCTGATCATAAGACTTCTTTCCCTTAGCTGAATGTTTTCCACTGTTTTCTGAAGCAATTCTGTAGGCTTCCTGCATGCGTGAAGCCCATTTCTTTGCATACTCTTGCCTGGACTGTGACTTCTCTTCAGATTTCAAGTCAAAGAGTAGATCTACAGGCAATCGTAGAGCTCTACCATAAAGAAGAAAAAATTGTGAATAGCCTGTTCCCTCATGTCTTGTACAGTTGTATGTGTGGACAATGTGAGGTAGGTGATCCTTCCACTCTGTTTTTTTCTCCTCCTGCAGAGTGCGCAGCATCTGTAACAGTGTCCTGTTGAGGCGCTCGACAGGATTCCCCTGTGTAGGGAGTGGTTCGTGAGTGGGAAATTCCTGCGAGCTGCTGGAGTCTCTGGAAGAGACTGTTTTCAAACTCCCGGCCCTGATCATGATGTAGCTTTTCAGGGTACCCAAAGCGAGGGATAAAGTCATAGAAGATTTTCGCAGCGGCTGTTCTGCCAGATTTGTTTTTGTGGCGTAAGCTTGACCAAACTGAGTAAAGTGATCTACCAGGACTAAAATGTACTCATAACCACCTTTACTCTGTTCCAAATGTAAATAATCAATTGAGATGAGCTCAAATGGGGCACTGTGTCATGATGACAGTCATGACTGTCGTTCCCTGTGTTTCCCTTTGTTTTCCACTGTTCTTGTGTTGTGCACTTGTCTCTGTCTGTGTGGTGGGCGTGGCACATTTCCCTGATCCTGCCTGGATAATCACTGAAGCACACCTGCCATTCCTCAGCAACTGCCTTCAATCAACCCATCACTCTGACTGCATAAAAACCCTGGCCTTTCTCCCACCCGTCGTCATATCGTTTGTTCACCCACTGTGGTCCACCTCCTGCTACCTGCTTGCCTGCTCTCCACCAGCCATATCCGGACAGCCTACACTCTGTACCTCCTCCATCTCATTCTCGGACCCTCTCCTTCCCCTTTGTCTCCCACAGCAAAATAAATCCTTATTTCTCACTCAACGTCGTCTGAGCCTACATTTTGGGTCATTACCGGTTTAAATCGTGACAGAACGATCTGACCAGGACTTTGACCCAGCTGTCTCGGATGAGTTTCTTCAAGCCTCCCCGGATCTCCGCCAAGCCCTTGCATTCCAAGGAACCAACATGACCGTGTGCTCTGAGAAGTCGTGGAGACTTTGAGAGGTCTGACCGTTACTATGTCTAGAATTGAGAGTCAGTTCAGTGCTGCCCCATTCCTATCAGTTCCAACTAGTTCCAGTCCCTCCGTTCCTGGTCCACCTCCTGTGATGCCGTCTTATCTGCCCAGAGAGCCTTACGTCCCAGCACCTGAATGTTATGATGGTGATCTGGGGACTTGTCAATCTTTTTTGCTGCAATGCTATCTTGTTTTTGATTTACAGCCGCAGACATACGCTACGGACAAGTCAAAGATTGCTTTCATCGTCGGGTTGCTAACTGGGAGGGCTAGAGCTTGGGGTGCAGCTGTTTGGAATGACTCTCCACGGATTAACTCCTCCTATGCCAGTTTTGTGGCAGAGATGAAGAAAGTTTTTGACCACCCTGTTAAAGGTAAAGATGCCAGTCAGCGTCTACTGTCCCTTCGCCAAGGTGCCCGCAGTGTAGCGGAGTATTCAGTTGATTTCAGAACATTGGCAGCAGAGTCAGGCTGGAATGATAAGTCACTTCAGGGGGTTTTTCGGAAGTGGTTAAGCAAAGCATTGAAGGATTGGCTGTCAGATTAGTCGGACAGCTTGGATAGCTTAATTTCCAGGAGAGTGTGCAGAGAAAGAGATTAGCGAAGAAGAGATGGGACAGTGACAGAACAGAAGAGAACAGACTGGAGTACAAAGAGAGGACAAGGGAGGTGAAGAGGGAAGTGGCCAAGGCCAAACAAAAGGCATATGAGGAGTTGTATGAGAGTTTGGAAACAAAGGAAGGAGAAAAGGAGTTGTATAGATTGGCGAGACAGAGAAATCAAGCTGGGAAGGATGTGCAGCAGGTGAGGTTGATTATGGACAGAGAGGGGAATGTGATCACAAGTGAGGAAAGTCTGCTGAGAAGATGGAAGGAGTACTTTGAGGAGGTGAAAATGAAAACATAGGATTGAGGAGCCAGAAACTATTAGGAAGAAGGTAGATCAGATTAGATCACATTAGGATGAAGTAAGAAAAGCCCTAAAGAGGATGAAGAGTGGAAAGTCAGTTGGTCCCGATGACATACCAGTGGAAGTGCTTAGGGGAAGTGGCGGTAGATTTGACTAGGTTTTTCATACCAGTGGAAGAGACTGACAAGATGCCTGATGAGTGGAGAAAAAGTGTTCTGGTGCCAATTTATAAGAAGGCTGATGTGCGGAGTTGTAACAACTACAGAGGAATAAAGTTGATGAGCCATACAATATAGATTTGGCAAAGAGTAGTTGAAGCAAGGTTGAGGCAGGAAGTGGAGATTTGTGAACAACAGTATGGTTTCATGCCTAGAAAGAGTTGCACAGATGCAATATTTGCCTTGAGGATGCTGATGGAGAAGTACAGAGAAGGTCAGAAGGAGCTACATTGTGTATTTGTAGATTTAGAAAAGGCATATGACAAAGTGCCAAGGGAGGAATTGTGGTTTTGTATGAGGAAGTCAGGAGTGGCAGAGAAGTATGTTAGTTTGGTGCAGGACATGTATGAGAATAGTACAACAGTGGTGAGGGGTGCTGTTGGAATTAACAGCTTCCTATTAGAATCTGTCATTACAAACCACATACAATAGTTATTGTAATCTGTATCATACATTTGTAGCCATTGCCCACCCATAAAGATGATATGACACCCCATTTTTGTGGAACCATTCATATAGTCAAAATAAAACATCAAAAACCACCCATTGTTCTCTCAATCTATTTATTTATTCGAACATTATTGCCAGAAGAAGAAAAAAAAAACAGTATACAGTATTACAGTATAGAAAACAAAATTAAGGAAAACACTTTGGCATCAAAGCAATTAAAAGTAATAAGTAATTATTTGTCAGCATTAATCTCTGGTGTTGTTACATGGTGTTTATTGAGTTAGTGGTACAGATATGTCAAATGATGTGCTAAAAGCTCAAAGAAAAAAAGAGTTTTTTTTATAATAAATTAAGTTAACTGCTTTCATGGTACTACGTAACTCTGGTTACAACCTTTTGTTTTTTATGTTGACATTTGTTGACATTTTTGGTCTTTTTGTCTAATCTCGCATCTTTTTTGTTCTCTTCTCATCACTTTCATTGCTGACAACACAGAGCAGCAAAAGCAAAAAAAAACAAAACAAAACAAAAAGCGATTGATTCTTTTTTTACTGCACTATATATATATATTATGAGTAATCATTTTAATAATTTTTCTGTGCACCCAGCACCTTGTTCAACTGTAATAAATTGTTATTACAGTGATCTTTGCAATATGTTATTGAAAAACACATTAGTTAATGTTGTTAGTTCTTAGCTGAATTCGTTCCATGAAGTCAGCATGCCTGCCTCGCAGGGAGAGAGCCCCTGTCAATTCGCTGAGGAATGACATACTTGGATGTACTTGGTGACTCAAGGGTGCAGCCTGTTGCAGCAGATCTGCTGTTAACACAGACATTTCCCAAATGTGGGATCATTAAAGCTCAAATTGTGTAATATTATTTTTTTATTCAATGCTTCTTTGAGTGTAGGTAAGCTACGGACTAGAGTTTCTAAAGACATCTGGCCTGATTTCCAATGTTACTTTCACATATAATCTAAAACATCAGGCTATTCACTCACAGTGCACAGGCACAAGAGAATATTACAACTTTAACAATCTGACAATACATGTTCTTCAAATTGGCTGTTAAAAAATGAAATTGCAGCACAAGTGGCTGGCCAGGAGATATACTAAAAAAGCTCACTCAACCTAGCCAAGATCTAGATCACGTGTCAAACTCAAGGCCTGGAGGCCAAATGCGGCCCACCAAGCAGTTTTGTGTGGCCCGAGGGAGCTTAAAAAGCATTTATTAAAGTCCACGCAGCAAAGTTTCTTAACCTGAGAAGTTAAACGTTTTTTTATCACACAGCAATGAACAATATTTGTAGCTTGAATAAATAATAATCAATTGCAGAAAGATGTATTAGTCTTTTATGAAGGAGTTGCATCTATACCAGCCGTCCCCAACCTTTTTTGTTTCAAGGACTGGTCAGCCAGTATCACCCATTACTACAGACCGGTACAAAGGTGCTGAGCATTGAAGGATCATTACACTTTCAAAATAAAACAGCTTTTAGTCTCTATTCTCTTTGTATTAGAGTCTGAATAACATACACTTTCAAAATAAAACAGCTTTTAGTCTGTATTCTCTTTGTATTAGAGTCTGAATGACATACTATTTTAAAAATATTGCCAGATTATCGTTGAATAAAGAAAGTAAATGGATATGACTGGATTTTCTTTGAATGAAGTAAATTAGTAAAAATTAGGTAATTGTTTTCACTGTGTCCCACTTCAGGCCAGTACCAAATGACCTATGGACTGGTGCTGGTCTGCAGACCAGTGGTTGGGGACCCTTGATGTATACAGTCTTCCATTTACATCCGGCCCTTTAAGGGGAACTGTATTGGTGTTGTTGCCCCTGGTGAAAACACTCTTGCTCTAGACGATGACTTTTTTTGCCATTTAAGTAGGTTCTCTCATTAAGGTCATTTATCATAAGAAGTGTAGATATAGGCCTCTTGTTTTTAAATTGCAATTATTCCTTCTGTAATATTTTTGTGGTGACATACAAAACTAGTATGGTGTGGTCAAGCAATTTAATATCTAGTAGTTTTTTTTTACTATGGCTGTTATTAGGGTGGCGCGTTGGCCCAGAGGCAATGTCTTTGTCATTGGTGTGGAACCCCAGGCTTCTCCTCCTGGGCAAGATCGAATCCCGGTTAGGGCAGTTGGCGCCTTCCAGTGGACTCACCACCCACAGGAAGCTTCGCGAGGGGCTGGGACAGTGCAATGTGATTTGGGTGGCGGTCGTGGAGACTACTGCCCCCGTGACCCGGTAATGGATAAGCGGATAAAAATTGATGGATGGATGAGTCTTATTAGGTTAAATCAGTAAGAAAAACACATTACTTTTAATAGGGCAGGATAATGCTAAATGTAGACTAAATGCAAAATTTACCACTTTTGAAAGTTAAGAGATTGTTATCTAAGGGAATTTTGAAGCAATCACTACAAAATTTAGGGATAAATCATCAGACCTGTAAAAAATATGCAGTGCAACGATTTTGATGTTGGTTTCTGGGTTTTTTTTTTTTCATTTCATTTTTAAAACCAGTTACCATGTGAGGGTCTTGAGCGTGGCTGTGATGGGCTCTGGTTGGTTAAAAATGGTGAACTGCTGTCCTTGTGTCGGTTTTCCTGCAATGCTAGTCTTTTGCCCTTTTCCTCCTTCATAAAAAGCTCAACCATTAGGACCCTCTCCTTGTGGAGCTGAAGGCTGATGTCCTTTGGAATACCAGGGATCAGCCAGTCTACAAAGTCACTCATAAGCATCACCACATTCTGCAGAGGATAGAGAGAGCACAACATACAAGATTCCAGTTATAAATCACATTAAAATATGATATTTAAGCCATAAAAATAAAACATTAAACCTATATGACACATGGGGCTTATCAGTGAGTGAAGTGACAACAGAGAGTAGTGTTGTCTTAAGGCAAAACGCTTCGAAATATTCAAACAACAAAATGTACAGCCTGTCAAGTTACTTAGTAAGTAAATAAATAAGTATGTAGACAGGTGCAAAGGAATACATGGTTGATAATGGATAGATGGATGGATAGTATGCAAACCAATGAATTTATCGTGTAAAATGGTTTTAAATGTGGTTTAATCAACATTGATGTTGTGATGATGTTTTTGGAGTTTGCACCTGCATACCTCTTCTATGCTCTTCTGTTTGAAATGTTAAATCACTGTCTTCCAAATCACAATTAAAACAGATTTAAGAATACATACATTATATTAACCATTAACCAACATACATTAACCATCTCATATGAATATACATATTCCTTGCAACAAAAGCCAAGGACGACTCAAGAATCACTCGCTCGACAACTGTCTGACAATATTGCCATGTTACCCCGTTTTGTGTCCCTAGATCTTTCTTCTTGCTAATTTATAATGTATTTAAGTCTGGACTTGTCTTGCAGTTGCGTCTAGCCCACTAAATAACTTATACATAAAATCACACTTAGTAATCCTCCTGTGACCAGAGAAGTGTTTTACTCAACACCACAAACCCTGCAGGTCATACAGATGAAGCAACCGTGAATGTATCCACGAATTGTGAAAGGAGCTCGCCATAGATTGCCCTATGTGCGTGGGTAATGGAATCCCCCGATGAGACCCCATGACTATAAACAATAGAATATGAACCAGACAAAATAGATAAAATATTTAAAAACTATTACAAAAGCTTATACACACAGCTGGACTCAGCAGACAAAAACTTGATAAGACACTTCCCAAATTCACTAGATTTACCATCAATAGGAAAGAAGCAAAATGAAATACAAATCAATTCAGAAAAAGCAATCAATAGGTTAAAAATGAAAAAAAAAACACCGGGAACTGATGGCTTCCCAGTGAAATTGTATAAAATCTTTAAGAACAAACTAAGCCCAATGCTACTAAACTCATTTAATGAAACCCTGAAAAGAGGCAAGATCCCCCTTTTGCGGAAAAAGCAATAATTGCAATAATACCCAGAGAAGGACAAGACAAAGAATTTTGTGAAAACTATAGACCTATATCAATTTTAAACTGCGACTGTAAGATAACAGTAACAGGCAAAAATAGGCCAAGCTGACGTGGAAATAACAGGAAGACGCCTAGAATAACAGAAAGACTGGAGAAAGGCACAGGCAAAAACAGGTCAAGATGACCTGGGTAAATGAACATGTTTATCCGGTTACTAACCAAATGTGAGCCAAATGTTATGTAACACCATGTTGTTCTAGCAAAAAGACCGGAGACCTTTATGCTAGACTTAATTAACAAAGACCAATCAGGCTTTACCAAGGAATGCCAAATGCATGACAATATAAGGAGGACATTACATATAATAGATGTTCAAAGTCCTGGATGCCGAAAAAGCTTTTGACAATGTCGGTTGGAAATTCTTATATCTTTGCTTTGAAAAATTTGGCTTTAATACAGATTTAGTAAAAATAATCAAAACGCTCTATAACCAAATGTGGACAATATAAACGGCAACCTTTTAAACTGGTTCAAGCTGCAAAGATCCACCAGACGGGGTGCCGTCTGTCACCAACACTTTTTGCAATGTTCTTTGAGCCCTTGGCTTAGGAATTACAAGAGGACATAGACAAAGAAGGCATAGAGATGAGATATACCGAACATAAAATTGGGCTTTTTGTGACAACGTTTTGATCAATCTGAAGCGACCAATTGTGTCCCCAAACGTATGAAAAGATTGGATTCATAATCTCATTTGTCAGGTTATAAACTCAATGTAAGAAAAACACAGGCCCTATCTATAAACTGTACCCCAATCCAGACTATTAAACGGATGTTTAATTTTAGGTGGCACACTAAATCAATAAAATACTTGGGAGTATCTATCACCATAAACCTAACAAAACTGTATGAATCAAATTATATGGGACTAAACCAGAAGATTCAGAAGGACATGGATAGATGCGGCCCCAATGTAATTTGAGTTTGAGAACCCTGTGCGGAGGCTTAGTCATGTCTTGGGGACTGTCATACACCAGACCTCTCCTGTTCACCTGCTGCTTTCTGGCAATGACTATGAAACAATCCAGTTCCACAACCTGTCTTCCTGCCAACCACTCATCCTGGGGTATCTGTGGCATCTGACCTGTCCAGGATGCCACCTGAGTATCGCGATTCTGCCAGGTCTTCAGCAAAGCCAAGACCATGTCTCTAGCCCCACACCATCCATATGACAGTGTCTTAGACCCTTCTGCCTGGTACTTCATCTCCCAGGGGGCGCCTGTACTGTCAGAACCCAAGAGATACAATGGAAACATACATCGGTGACTCTTTGGCCACAGGCATTATTCCTGCATTGTCATCTCGGGATGGGGCGGGGCTTTTCTTCATGACAAAGAAAGACAAAACACTGAGACCCTGCATTGACTACAGAGTACTGAATGACATGACTAGGAATAATCATTACCTGCTGCCACATATATCCTCTGCCTTTGAACTGCTGCAGGGGGCCACCATTTTTACTACTTGATCTGTGCAATGCCCATTACCTGGTATATCCTCTGCCTTTGAACTGCTGCAGGTGGGCCACCATTTTTACCACTTGATCTGTGCAATGCCCATTAACTGGTCTGCATCAGAAAAGGAGATGAGTGGAAAACAGCCTTCAACACCCCAACCAGCCACTACGAGTACCTAGTAATGCCATTTGGTCTGGTCAATACCCCTGCTGTCTTCCAGACATTAATAAATGACGTGTTTAGAGATATGCACAACCATTATTATTTTGTTTATCTTGATGACATTCTCATCTTCTCAGTGCAGAGAGCACATTCATTATGTACGGTCTGTCCTCCAGTGCCTACTTGAGAACTCCGTGGATGTGAAAGCAGAGAAATTCTCTGTGTCTTTCTTGGGAAGCAATGTGGTTCAAGGCCACATTCTGATTGACCAGGCCAAAGTCTCTGTCTCTGTCTCTCTCACCTCGTGGCCTGTTCCTGAGAACTGCAGCTTCAGCTTTTCCTGGGGTTTGCCAACTTTCAGCTCTCCTCTCACTGCCCTGACCTCTCGTGGTCTCCTTTAGCCGAGGTGGCCTCCCAGACCCTCAAGGATCGATTCACCTCCTCACCCATACTCCACATGCCTGACCCAGAATGTCAGTGTGTGGTTGAGGTGGATGCCTCTGAAGTGGGGGTTGGGGATGTCTTGTCTCAGCACTTAAGTTCTGACCAAAAGCTCCATTTCTGTGCATTCTCTCACCGCCCGTCCATTGCTGAGATAAATCATAACATTGGAAACAGAGTTGTTGGTGGTTGATGTTAGTGCACATTGGTTAGAGGGGGGGACTCTTTTCTGGTATGGACTGACCACAATTTGATCTTATTTTAATTTCACCCTCTCTTGTTGTCTGAGGTCCCACAATGCCTGAAGCCCTGTCTCGTCTGTTTTAGAGAACAAAGGGAGCTGCTGACAGACCCGAGTCCATCCTCCTAGCACCCTGCATGGTTGCCACACTTACCTGGGACATTGAAGAGAGGGTCAACACGGCCATGAATAGACAGCCATGTCACAGTTCTTGTCCGTCCAACTGTCTTTTCATCTCTCCAGACTTGAGCTTAGATGTGCTGCCAGGGTCTCACTCCACCAAGTTCTCCTGTCATCCTGGGGTCCAGCAAACACAGAACGCTCTCCTCCAACGTTTGGCCTACCTTCCAGGACGATGTCCAGGAGTTTGTTAGAACCCGTCCTATCTGCAATCAACAAAAATCTCCCCAGCCATCTCCTGCTGGGCTGCTTCAACCTTTGGCCACACCTCACCGCCAATGGTCCCACATATCCCTGGACTTAATTACTGACACTCACACTGTCATCTTTACCGTTCTGGACCACTTCAGCAAGATGGGCCATTTTGTGGCTCTAGCCAAGTTTCCTACAGCTTCCGACAGAGAGCCCATTTGGTTTTGCTCCATATATTCCGCCTGCATGGTCTCCCTGTTGATGTGATATCAGACCGTGGTCCCAATTGGCTTCTGTGTTTTGGAAAGGGTTTTGTAATCTGCAGGAAGCCACTGTCAGTCTGTCCTTCGAGTTCCACCCCCCAGACTAATAGACAAACTGAGCTGGCTCCATGAGCCCCTGTTCCTGGTCATCACAACTATGTGGGTCGAATACACTCACAATTCCCTGGTCTGCCCCGCCACTAGTCTCACATTTTTAGTGTGCTTGTGGTTATCAACCACCACTATTCCCAGACCAGGAGAGGGAGGCTTCCTGCCCATCCTCAAAGGCCTTCATCCGCTGTTGCCACAGGACGTGGCTCCGGGGCTCACTCCTATTGACTACAGCTCAGCGTTCAACACTCACCCGGATACTGAACACCACACAACTGGTGAAAAATGCTCAGCAAAGACTGTACTTCCTGAGGAGGCTGAGGAGGTTTGGGATGTCCCAAAAAATCCTCTGCAACTTCTAGAGCTGCGTTGTTGAGTCCATCCTCACCAGCTGCATCACAGTGTAGTACAACAGCACCGCCATCATGGACCGCAAATGCCTGCAGAGAGTGGTCAGGACTGCATCCAAAATCATTGGAACTCCCCTGCCCTCGTTGCAGTGCATCCACCAGCGCAGAGCTCTCCGGGCGACTGCGTCGATTCTAAAAGACCCCACCCACCCCCAGCTTCATTGGGCCATTCACCATCAAGAAGGTCATCAACCCAGCAGCAGTCCAATTGAAGTTTCCAAGTTCTATGGGTGTACACCCAACCTTTCATGTCTCCAAGGTCAAAGTCACCACTCCCTGGCCACAACTCATCAACGGCGGTCTAATGTTTACAGTGCATCACGTGATTTGCTCTCAAAGGTGGGTGTAGATGCTTCTAGTACCTGGTGGACTGCGTCAAAAGGAGAGGTCCATATGCCTCCATATATGTCGCCATATTTTGGATGTCAATCTTACGGTGGAGTTTCATCATTAACTCCCACTTTATTAGCTGTTACTTTCTCTTGTTCCTTCTTTTTTACCACCTCTACAGTATCCTCAGGGTGTCTTTTTTTCAAAATTGTAATTTGTGATCTTCAGCTTGTCCTCTACAGTATCCTCAGGGTGTCTTTTTTGATCTTCAGCTTGTCTAATAAACTACAGAAGTAAGTGTGGTGTAATGTACCTGAAAGACGATGACAAAAGCAAGTCGAGCTGCAAGAACAGCCCAGAATTCTTTAGAAAGCTCATACGGTGTGCTGGACCATGGAGGCTCTCTGTAGTCCTTATATCTAAACAAAAAGAGAAATGGGACAACATAGAAGTATTGTTTAATTCAGAAATCTCCACTGTTATCACCAACTGTAACCGTTCCGCTTAAGCACATAGAAGTATTGTTTAATTCAGAAATGTCCAATGTTATCACCAACTGTAACTGTAAACTTTGGGTCTTCAAAGTTGTGCAGCTTACCTGCAGATTTCCACTTTGTAGCCATGGTAGTGTGATTGATTGGGTTCTTTGTCAGGTTGGAAGTCGCTGACATTAAAATACGCTAGACTGTGATTGATAAACCCATGCATTGTGCCATCATTGCTGTACATGTACTGGTAGACAAGTCGTGGAATGAAGTCAGAAGTGAAGGAGATGACGAAGGCCTTAAAAAAGTGAATAATATGCAAGTCATTTTAAGGCCAAACCAAAACTTAATCAAACCACAAAAATCTACAACTGGATGTTTATTAAATGATACACGTATGGTCAAAATGGTGATCCATCATTAACATCACTCTTATAGTCAATTTCTCATAAACCTACCTGCAAACTGTCCTAAAAGTAGCTTTCAAGTGATCTACACCACATGTGTCAAATTCAAGGCCTGCAGACCAAATTCGGCATAAGTTGAAAGGGTTGTTTTAAAGGTCTACGGTAAAATGATTAATTATTATTAATTATTTGATGTGTGTGCAGCATATGCATGGCAAGTTAATTACAATTGCAATTACTCTCATTCCAGACGAAATCAGGTGTACATTTGTGTATGTTAGGTTACGACCACAACCTACATCACCCATAATGCATGTCAATGTTGTGTCCTGGGTAAGTAATACACTTAACTTAACTTAATTGGAGAAAGATTTTGGTAAAACCTACTGTTAAGCATGAGCATATCAATCTTTTAAAAGAACAGAGGTAATAATATACAAACTCCAGCTTATTTGTCTTTGAGGTCCTTTGTTTAACAGAACCTGTGAAACTGCAGACAGCTTAAGGTACCGGTAAGTAAAATATCTATATAAATATCTGCTCAACAAATTGACCTACAGCTGCCAACACTACAAGATAAGCCTGTTGTGATGTTTTAATGTTATGATCAAATGTTATGCTGTGATATGTTGTAATGCCGCATTCTTTCTTAATTGTATAGTAAGTGTTTTGTATTGTATTGTATTGTATGTATTGTATGTGTGTGTGCTTTCTGCCTTCTTACATCATGGCCAGGGGACTACAGATGAAAACTAGCCTTCTGGCTAACTCTGGCTTTTTTAACAATGTGTAATCATGTGTTTTATGAAATTGCACTGTGCCCTTTTAAATAAACTAAAACTAAAAAAAAAAAACAAAACTAAAACTAAAGACTGTATTGGAAGACTGTAAAGTTTTGCCAGACTTACATTAACAATGACGGCTACTTTGCTGAGTCCTCTGAGGAGTTTATACCAGATCCCTAGAAAATTCGGAAAAAACAAAGTTTGTTAGCAATCACAACAAAACACTTTACAGTAAGTGACCTAATCAGTGCACATTGTCAGGGACCGCAACTCAAGCAACCACCAATATTTTGTTAAAAATGCTAATTAAAACAAACAAACAAAAAAGATAAAGACAAAGATAATCTATTCAAGGCTTGGACTATAGACCTTTCTTTTTTAAGTTTGCCTGTTCTTCCCTCACATTCAAACCTAAGGTGTAGTAACCATAACCATGTAAATGGTTATCCTGGCCCTTTAAGCAGCAGTCCCTAACCTTTTCGGATGGTACCAACCGCAATTGCGGACCAGTTGTATGATTATCATTAAGGATTATTTTAATTTCAACATAAAACACTTTTTAGACTTCTGTTAGTATTGGAGTCTTAATGATAATTACATAAAAGATTGCCAGAATATCGTTTAATGAAGAAAGTAAATAATGAGTGGATTCTTTTTTAATTGAGTAAATTAGTAAAAATAAAAATTTTGTCCCACAAGTTCTCAAATTTGCATTAGACACCCAGCCAGATCCCAGATCTCGCACATTTAGTGTCCGAACACCAAGTGGTTTTTTAATTTCATTAAATGTAACCCTTATTACGGCTCCCAAAAGAGTGAACACTGTAGTAAAAGTCGGAACATATATTTGGAAATTACGGTTTTAGGCCACAGTCACGGCACCATCTTTTGTAGTCGGCTACAGCCAAGTATTTGAAAGAAAACAGTTGGTACTTCTTCATAAATCCACATCCATAATTCCGGAAAAAGCCCCTGCTGTTGAACACTGGTACTGCCGCATGAATGTCATTTCAAAGCGGGTTGAAATTTATATATAACCACATAAATATATATAAAATATATATAATACATATATATTATATACATATACATATATATTATATGTATATTCCGTCAAATAGAGGATCATTGTATTTGGTAAGAATTTGGTATGAAATAAAATAAAAATAAAATTAATAAATAGTAAAATTGCATCCTGAAAAGAAAAGCAAATCATATCGTATCATGGGTTAAGTGTATTGTTACATCCCTAATTAAATGCTTTCATTTAAACATGGTTTTGCTTTATTTATAGTTGGGAAGGAGGGGTTTGATCAATGGATGCGAATACTAAACCCCCCCCCCCAAAAAAAAACAACAAGAAAATACTGCACATGTTCTGACTTTATCATTTCGATTAATTGGACGAAAGCCTACCTATGTCTTTGGCTCGGACTGCAATAGGTCTACGCAGCTCCATAACAAACTTCTTCGCATCAAGGCGGATCTCGATGATGTTATTCAGGAGAGCAAAGAGTGGGGCCAAAGGAAAAGAGGCAACGAAAAGTGTCACCATTCCAAACTGGATAACTATAAGAAATGATAAGGAGATAAAAAGCACATATAATGAATAGTATTTTGATTTTTTTTTTCTAGATGAATAGAAAAATAAATAAATAAACAAATCATCTAGAAGAGGAACAAGTGAATTTCCCCTTTGAGGAAGATTAGTCGCTTAGTTTAAGGCGAAAAGCCACAGTTTAAAGTGTTTGCATGGAATGGAGAATACAAACAAACGACCAAAAAATAACTGCCCCCCCCAAAAAAAAGACATAAGGGGGCACACCTACACCGCATTAAGAGGTTTGTGGCTAAACATGTATTGGACCACATATTTTGGGTTTTTACAACAAACTGCTGCCACTTTGATAAAGGTTTTTATTAGGACTGTCTGTTAGGATTGTCCTACTGTCCATTGACGTGTTGTCGCCCTATAACATAGTCAATATAAAATTTTCATGGACTGCAGAAGCCTAAAAGACCATCTGAACTAACCAGTACTTCGCCTTCTTCACTGGGTGCAAGACAGTAAATAAGTCTGGCTGACACAACTGTAAAATGGACGGTGAGAAACTACTGACTAATTAATAATAATTTTGAGGTCAACTGATCAACCAAGGTTTTCGAGGATGACAGGCTGCACAAGCCATTGTTAAAATACACTAGATGCAGTAATCTCTAAAATCCACCAAAATGTACACAGCTGTTACATTTATTGGTAGGATTCGAGTTATATTTTGCATGCATGATGTTGAAGATTTTTCCATATGATTAATTCTATCATTTACATATGGTAATACATGTCAGAAACCTGCTTTGTGCATGCTTATGGTAATACATGTCAGAAACCTGCTTTCTGTATGCTTTTTTGTTTTTCTGTTCCATAATAATAATAATAAAAAATCCATTGACAGCCCTAGTGTTCAGATAAAAAGTTGAAAGAAAGTAATTCATTCAGTCCCCCAAATGAGAGACACCACAAAAGGGTAAATAAAATTATTTTAAACAAAGCTTATATTGATGTTATATCCAGGTGTTTAGACTTACTCATTTCCATGTATTCAGGGCCGAGGCCAACAAATGGACCCAGGATGTGATCTTTCTCATGCCTCTGCAGGGTTTTGTTAAGCTCTTCTGCTTGCTTTGTGGCAGATTCTGTTTTCCTCCTCCGTAAGAGTTTTTTTAATTTTCTGCAAAAGTGATAAAAAAAACAAAACATGGCAACTCTTCAATTTGGTACAACATGACATTGTTTTTTCAAATCACTTGATTTGGGTCTAGATGCTCGTGTATTGATTTGGTATGGCAGTGTTTCTTTCATGTTATATATCAGTTTATATGAGAATATTTGCATGAACGACTCTTTGTAATGGAAGAGGAACAAAAAACAGATCATGCGAATTGCAGGCTAGTATAGAAATTGCCTGGTTTCCGGACACGCCGTCGACATGCACACCCATAATAGGTGTGCCTTACTTGTTTTTGGTTTGCTAGGGCCTCAATGACTTTCCAAGGTACACTATCATCAGGGTTACTGAGTTACACTCACGGTATGCCGACCTCAAACAGGTTGTTCTGGATTAGCTGCTTGCCCAGCATTGTGATGCACAATTGGATGCAAAGCTCCATCAGGCAACCACCATGTGCACACTGGATTGGAATGAAAAAAATTAGTGCCAAAGGTGACATGACAAAAAAAAAAAGAAAAAAGAAAAAGAAAAGACAGTA